CAGAACAGAATATGGGAATACATGTAATGCGCCCTACTATCTATTAGTCAAACTGAAAGAGAAAATGAATACGCACCAGCGGAGTTTGGTGGATATGGAAAGGACATGGATGGATGGTACAGAGAAGTGGACCTGTGAGCAGGTGATTGTCAGATGAGAGATGTCCAAGAAGAACTTGTTGCTGGATGAAATAGGAATGATATGGAACTTGTAACTTCCTATAGGTCTTGACACCAGTATCAAAAGATATTTGTTTCCACCTAATGTAGGTCCAAGTATCATATTGGTCCTGGTCCTGTTAAGACCGTGCACAGAGGGTAGGACTGATTCTGAGGGGCTTGGCTTCAGCTTGTGCACTGCACCCCTTACCCAAGTATATGCCCTTAATTTCAAATTGATGTATGGAGAAAGTCTAAGGAAGTCCAAAGGACTTCCAAAGGGCGCAGGAAACTTTGGAAGGACTTTCCAGATGAGTGCAAGTAACTTCCAGTTGAGTGCGGAAAATTTTTGAAGGAACTTCCGGGAATTACAATGGAGGTTTCGTCCTGATACAGATACATGTAATGGCTACTCAGAACTTGTCTAGAGTAGAAGAAAACAGAGGAAAGACTGCAAGGACAAAGTCTAAAGCAGAATGGGTCTGGGGAACTATGGAAAAGATATGGAGGGACTTCCAGAAACTTCAGGGGAATGAAGGAGCAGAGGAGCAGAGCTCTGGCCTAGAGAATTTCTCCCTAGACCTAAGGTGGATATTCAGAAAGAAAGAACTAGTATTAGGATTTAGAGTGAAGATGAGTGCAAGGACTAATATGATATTTAGACTCAGGAACTACAGGACATATATAAGAGTGTATATACTAAGTAACTATCAGAAAAATCAATAAGCAAAGGTCCAAGGCTATGTATGAAGCATAGGTTAATTCAGTAAGCATACCAGTAGTAAGTATAACCAAGATACCGGAAACAAGGAATATCAAATAGGCTGTGTTAACATTCCATGAACAGGAATTGAATTAAGAAGCTTATTATATATCAGATCAGAAGCAGATCTACACATTAGATCAGATTGGATTTGAGGTCCAGATGAGAAGCATGGATATATGAGATATAATATTAGAGTGATGGGACAAAGGACAAATGATGCAGGCTAGCTGCAGAGGTATGGACGTCTGAGATATAGAGATACAGGGATCCAGAGGTCCACATGAGGTGTAGGAACATTGCCGGATGTAGGTCCAGAATATGGGATATAACAGTCCAGTTGCCTCCAAATAGGGTCAAAAAACTAGACTGGACCAAACTTTAAAATACTAGATATATACCAAAAAAAAACTATTCTATTGTGTTCTATTATACATATATAACATATATCATTACTTACACATGAGGGATAGGTATTAGTAGTGGAGTGGAGAGCAGAAATGACATAGAAAGATTAAGATTTTAAAGTATTATTAAAATAAGCTGATGTTTTGGGTGTTGTGGGGAAATTCTCACAGAAAGCAGTCAAAATTGTGAAATTATATTAGTTAGGGCAATGTTCCTGATATGAGGTAATGATCTTAGGAAGAATAACAAAATTGAATTACTATGATATTAATAGTCAAAATTGCAAAATTATATGAATTATAACAATGTTTCTGACATGTGAGGTAGTATTTTGGATGTCGTGGAGATATTCCCACAGTAGGTACTAAAATGCAAAAAAATAGTATTAACAATATTATATATATTCTTCCTTATGACATGTAGGTCATTCAAATGAAATATATGTGTTAGCTAGAAATTCCCAACTATAGAACATATAGTCTAGGACTTCCCAACCTCAGAATATATGTTGGCTAGGAATTTCCAACTATAGAATATATGTGGTCTGGGATTTCCCAGCATTGGAATATATGTTGGCTTAGTATTTCTAACTTCAGAATATATTGGCAGAGAATTCCCAACCTCAAAATATATGTTGGCTGGGAATTCTCATCTGTAGAATATATGGTCTGGGAGTTCGTGACATGAGAATATATGTGATTTGGAAATTCCCAATATGAGCATATATATAACCTGGGAATTTCTCTAGTGGGCTTGGTATAGTAGCTCATACATTATATGTAAGTTAAGAATTTCTATGATGGACTTATGTACTGCCTAGTGCGGCATATCTCTCAAATGTCCCATTACCCTCTAATGCTCTGCATGACAGCGCTTAGGCTCACTATATAAGCGCCAGCAGTACATACTATCACATGACTTTTACTTCACTTTGGCACTCACTTACAAGTTACTACCCACTTACTACTTAGTAGAAATCTATTTGTCTACACTTCGCATCTCTCTTCTCTTGTCTTACATCATATCATCACTTAAGCTTAGTCTCTCTCATTTCTGCATATCTGTGCGCACTTTCCCGCACTTCACACCTTACGTGCGCGCATTCCCGCGCCTTTGTGCCTTGCATGCACCTCGCATTGGCCGACCAGTAGCGCTTTCAGCGCTTACCTCTAGATCTTTGCTGTACTCGCTTCCCCTTTAGGGTTGAATGCACTTGTCTTCTCAAGTATAGCAGACTAGGCAATGTGCGACCTACAATATTTACAGATACAGCCAGGAGCCTCGTTCTTGCCTTGCTGTATTGTTGTTTCTACAATGGGAAAATAGCGGACAGATATGCATGAGGTATAGGAATGTATCTCAGGTTATCCAAGACATGGGAACATGCGGCCAAAGGTGCGGAAAGCACAGAAAAGAGTGGACAAGGTATAGGGAGGTTTAAGGAATGAGGTTTCACAGGAGTGAGGGCAAAGGTATATTGTGAGGTAAGGGATCCTAGGTATAGAGAGGTATAAGGAACCTAATAGGGGCTAAAAGTGCGCACTACTAGGGACTACTTCAAAGGTAAACCTATGGTGTGAGGTATACAGTATGAGGGAAGTATAGTAAGTAGTCCTAAGTACACGCAATTTATACTGTCTAAAATCCCACTTGGAGTAGTAATACAGCAACACATATTAACATCTCTTCCAAACCATTTTACATCTCTAGATATTGTGTCAGGTCAAGGTCAAGCATCTTCCTGTCCACAAGATCTCTAGGTATGAACTGATTGCCCTGGTATAGTATGTGAGATGCTGACACTCATTGATACCTTTCTAAATGCTGAAGTACGATGTCCAACATGTGAATACTGGGCTGAGCTGTCTCTGTATCACACACAGCCTTTTTATGACCTCCTTTTGTACAATATTGCTTAGACTTGATGACCATGATACAAAGACTAAGCAATGGCTGCTTGTATAGAGCTAAAGTGTCTGTCAGTGTCAGTTATTAATGTACTAAATGACTATGCACATATTGTCGATGACAGATATGTAATTGTGATTTCCATGTAAGGAAGAGTCTCTAATGCATGGTCGAGAACTTGGTTTATCATTAAGTCTGCTACTTCGATGATGGTATATCAGGTGAGCTCAGTAAGATGCATGCATGAATAGTGATAGAAATGGCCTCCTGTAGTGAAGGATGCCACTGGAGTATAGACTGCATACATTGTGCAAGGCAGTTGTATACTGAAAGTGCTTGTGGTCAGAGATAAATATGGCACACAATGATATTGACTTACAGCATGTCCCCAGCACAAAGTGTTATTAACTCAGCATCACAGTTTTTCTTCAACCAGGCCTTGTTCTCCACAAAGTTCACAAGCCATGTTGCAATATTTTGAATGTGGCTCTAATTGTCGTGCCGATCCTTTGGCTGGAATACCACCCAGAATTTGACCCTGACTTCCATCCTGACCCACGTCAATGTTCCCTTAGCATCATGATGTGGATACATAAAAAATCCAGTGTGATGCGCCATTCTCCATCCCTTTATCGTAAAGTTTTCAGGATGAACATTTGACATGATCGGAATAGTGTGAGTACTTTGATTCCAACCATGGATAATGTCATGATCCAAATTTCTTGATGATTGTCAGAAGAGGAATATATATTGGCATAGGTAATTGATAAACTTACTGGAGAGCTCTCAGAAGTGATGTCTGTGCCATTGGAAGATCAAGGATACATTGTATACTTGTCGGGTTGTTCATTGAGTGAAAGAAAGACTCTATCGTGCCCTGGATTATGGGGTTGACATGATCCATGGATCACAGCATTACATCTACAGCCTTACTAAATATTAAGAACAATATCATATTTGAAAGAAAGGCTGACCATGAATGCAGATGGGACATTTTGGAGAAATGGCAAACAATTTATACAAGTATCTTGCCGATGGGTCACAATCCAATTCTTCATGTGCCACACCTCTGAGAAACAACAGAAATATTGGACCTAAGCACAGTCTTAATGATATCTGAGATATCTTTATGTGTGAGTGAATATCCATCTAAATGCAAAATGTGCTTTGAAGAAGGTAGTAAGGGTGGAAACTGGGCCATAAATCTGATGATTTGAATGTTGACAGAATCACAAACATTAACATTATCATCAGTAAAAAGTGTAGGAAGGATGGTGATATGATTATTCTTCCATTTCAAGATGTTGCTTTCTATCAGGACTTGTTTTCCCAAAAGACCTGATGTTAGGTCAACCATTTGAGACGACATTACAGAGATGTGGAATAGATCAAGACATTGATAGGTCGAGCAAAAGTAATGTAGCTTACCCAATTCAGTAATAATATTGGTATTCACTCTTTGATCAAAGTGTGTTCGGAGTATAAAATTGGTCACAGTCATAATAAATGACTTTTTGTGGACATGCTCCAAAATTCACAGCAACACAAAATATGGAATTCATTGTGCTAAGCTTCCATAACAGGACTGGAGGGACAGATGTCTAAGGATATACAGTATTTCATAAAGCATTTGTTCCAACATTGTCATATATAGAAGTGATTTGCATATAAACTGATAACATCTGTACATGTGACATTGGTATGTGTATATGACTGTGAGTGATACATATAACGACTGAGTTGAAAATCATGCAATGACATCGTTAACCAGAAGGTGTGACAAGCCGGTGCTATAGAATTAGTGATATAAATCAACAAGAGATAGATGTACTCACATCAGCATCTGCAGTGATTGACGACAATTCAATAGCAGCACCTGATTTGGCCATGGATGGGGGATCAGGAGGAGGAGAGGGGAACAATTCTTCATCTTTGATGAGATCTCTCACAGCATCATCATCATCATCATCATCATCATCATCATCATCATCATCATCATCATCATCATCATCATCATCATCATCATCATCATCATCATCATCATCATCATCATCATCATCATCATCATCATCATCATCATCATCATCATCATCATCATCATCATCATCATCATCATCATCATCATCATCATCATCATCATCATCATCATCATCATATATATTCAAGTTACCATTGTTCTCAATTTCACCATTTGCACCCTTAGGATCCTGTGTCGCTGGCACTAAGACAGTTGGTGGGACTACGACGGTTGATGGGCCTAACACGGTCAATGTTATGACAGGAGGAGTAGAGATCAATTGTACTGCAATGACTTCCTTCAGATGCTTAGATGGTCCATGACCACTGTCCTTCTGGTATGTATGAATTCCCAGCATATAAATTAACATTGGTTGACTTACCTTTGGTGGAGATGCATGAGAGGATGTTTGCTTGCACTTGAATTCATCTCTGGACATATCTGGTAGCATATTGTCCAACAGAACACCATCACTGTCAATAGCCATATCTTCTATGGCATGTATGACTTTGCCCTGCTCCTCAGCGTCATCTACCAGTATTTCATTGTACATGTCATTCACAAGAGATATCCATGGCAAATTTGTATCCAACATCAAGTACAATATGTGTGATGTACTTAAGAGTAACTACCAGCGGTGAGTTTGCAGCCAAGTTGTAGGTTTGACTGATCTTGCTATCCGCTGAAGCAACAGACCTTCTGAGACTATGCAGGATGTCTCATGTAACAAGGGCAGGCCTGTAAAGCTATCTGTGTGGTACTGATATTTAATTTCACTTGTTACATGTATTGCTATAACTTTAAGGAGCGCTCAAATGTTCTATCATAACTGATGATAGGATCCAAAGCGCAGGGGCATATGGGTCTTTATCATCTGAACAAGACACATGTAGGAGATGGCAAATCACGGATGTCATAGACCATGAGTCTGATTGAAGAAATCTCATCATCACTCTAGTAGAATGGTCCACAAGTCAAGCATGACTTCACCCAAAGTTGGTGCAATAATGCATGGCTTGATAGTTCAATAATCACATAATGAGCCTGATAATCTAGTAAGCATGACAGAATAATGTTGAAGATGATTTTTATAACCAATGGGGAAAAGACTGAGTGTCCACCATGATTCTGAACTAGCTCATTACACTGAATAGCAATATCCTCGATCCATAATTCAATCACCATAAATCACATCACCATTTTTCTCATGGTATGGAGCATGCATTTGTGGCGAAGCAGTGATGCGACATGTACAGTGATGGCTAGCCAGGAATTGTGATTGAATGCCATAGTAGATTGCACAAAATCAAGTTTTATAGGATCCATAAGAAAGGACTCAATCTAGTTCATCATTTCAGTAAAATGTATGTATGAATACATTGTAGAATACACCTACAGATGACACAATGCTATACTTCCCTATCCAAGACTCTGCAAGGAGATCTTCGATTGTATAATGGTCGAATGTCGACCTGTGGGACACATCGGTGGTTTTTCCCTTTATTGCACACCTTTTGGCAGCAAATATGATTGGTCGACCAAGCTTTGACAAACCTTGGTTCTGATGAGATCCAGCAAGTGACTTTGTGAGCTGAACCTTCTTCTGATCACATAATCGTGACTTTAAGGGAGGCGATTGTAGAAGCTTGCTGGCTTGCTGCACCAGCTCATGATTGATGGGTTCGTGATGATTGTTGGAAGGATTAGTGATGCATATCAGACTGAGTACATAGGTATCACTGAAAATATGAGATATACATACATGTCTCTGGCATGCTTGAAGGTTCTATAAGAATGGTTGAAATATGGGATTTATCACCAGAATGATGAGCATCAACTTCTAGTGTCAAGTCAAAATCATAATTAATCTTACATAAGGAATAGATTCAATTTATTATGAACATATTGCAGGATAAATGACTGATGGACATACCATATGGTCTTCATATGGGTATTCTTTAGAGTGGGGTAAACTTGGATTATCGCACATACTATGTGCAGGGGCTGACAATCTGAAATCATACATATTCTAGGAATCGTTCATGGGTACCTGCTCAATATAGCTTGAGTTGGAAATAGCGAGATGGTCTTGGTTGGTCCACCATGATCTGGCATTGCATTGCTGTGAGGCAAGGAGGGAATCTCTACAATATTCTCGCATTGAATATCCACTGTGACCATAATATGTGTTGCAAGATGTGTATCAATGTCTCACATAATGGTATCAGCAATCTGTTTGCAAATCCCAAGAGTCTGTCCATATTCAACTATGCAGTCTTTTCTCTTACAGGATGTGTAAAGTGCATGGCATCACAGTCCACCAATAACTCTTGGCAGATGGCCATCATCTCCACTATCCCAAAGATCTCTAGAAACTTGTCAGTATTTTGTGCTGTAAGGAGTTATCCATTGGATATAAGGTTTTCCAATGGTTCAGGCCTTTGGGTGTGTTAATAGAGTTATCAACCACATTGAGTAGACACTGAATATCTTCTCCTCCATGCCCTCATCTTCTAAGTCAATCCTCTGGTAATACCATTGTATTTCAAGCCATATATCCTGTCATGGATTATTTGGGTCAATGAAGCTGGTATAATTGAAAATGTACCTCACCTGTTATCATGGTTCAAATTTGACTATCCAAGTCATGCTATGACCCCATGTTGTTTATGTAAGCAGGGTCACCCCTCACTCAATGATGGATTTTTCAGCCTCCATTAGCTTTGCTTGGCTTCAAATAGAGCTGTCATTTGAGGTATCTGAGCCCTATGAATGTAATGGTAATAATTTTTTTGTTCCAAAAAATCATGTTCAAAAGTCATGGATGTCTATAATGCTGAGTTCCCCAACCTAAGGTCTATTGTTTCAGGCCATATAACTCACATGGCTTGATCTCAGACTCATTACAAAGGTAATTGATCCATATATGTTATATTCAGTAGCAACATAAATTTAATAAGTCAAAGTGTTGTTATAAATTTGCCCAAGACCACCACTTTTGCTTTTGTAAGCAGTATCACCCCTGTCATACTGCCTCACCTAATGATCAAAATTTTCAGCCTCCATTTGACTTATATGGGTGCAAATAGCATTTGATACAGAGCTTATTGATGGATCTGAATGTGATGGCAATGCTAATTAGGTCTAAAAAAATTATGTTTCAGAGTCATGCTACCCTCTTCCCCTACCTACTCCACCAACAATCATGATTTCATATGAATACTGATGTACCGAAGGCTCTTCCTGGTGTTTAATGACAATACTAATAGATTGTGGATGGTTTCAGAGTGTTTAAAACCAATATGGAATGTGATGTGTGAGTTTGCCTAATATCCCCCCTCAGAGATCAATTTTTTTAGGCTTCACATGACTTGCCAGGACTTCAAGAGTATTCTTACTGGGGGCTATTAATTCCTCTAAACAAGATGGTCAAGCCTGTTTGTCCAGAAAAAATCAGGTTGTTGAGATACACATGGTCCTCCCCCTTCTCCTACTCCATATATTTTATTATTATGTAAATACCAGTATATATATAAATGTTCCTACTATTGTTTGATCATATAAATCAGAGATAATCCCAGAGTGGTTTGAGCCCATCCTGAGAAAAATATGGAAGTTTTCCTAGTACCTCCCTCAAAGATCAATTTTTACAGGCTTTCCATGACTTGCTTGTGCTCCAAATGCATTTTTCCTAGGGCCTACTAAATGCCCTAAACAGGATGGTTCCTCAACTCAAGAATCCAATTTTTGAACGATGTATTTGTTGACCACAAACCACTCAACAGCCTTATCCTCACACTTGCAGAGCTCTTTGTGATTCAGTATACTTTGGTCACTTGGGAGCAGCAGCAGAAAGCACATGCTACCCTATGCGAGTACATCAAAGGTTTAAAACCAAATACTGCTGAATTGGCCTCCCTCATAAATCTCTCCAAGGCACATCCTTGTTACAGGTTGAGGATGGACATGGAGGCTTTGAGGTCACTTGACAAAATCATAGAAGTTTATGATTTCCACCTCAGATTGGATGGTTGGCCTCAAGACGACCTTCCTATAGTGCAAACAATCACCTCCTACAATAATAATCACGTAAAGCAGCACATCTTCACGAAGTCACAATGTGATTCATGGATAGAACTCACAACATCCAGCAAGAGACATAAGGTTAAGAGATAGCCCATATAGACATGAACATATTACCTGCGCTTGGCTTAGTAGTTACTTTGTGATGTCACCAGCCTATTATATCACTAGCCTGTTGTGTCACCAGTTACCAGTCATAAGTACCACACATTTCGCCTTGGAATGCTGGGTGCTTAGAATTTGCAGATAGCATCAGCATCCAGTGCTCAGCTCCCATGAGTGTTAAAAACACAAAGAAGCTAACTCTAGTGCAAGGTCTGAAAGTCTCAAAGATCACAGAAATCTGATAGTACAGAAACAGCTCTAATGAATATTCAGCCATATGAAATGGCTAGGGACTTGTGTTATCAATTTCAAATTAATGTGTGCATAACCATTCACAACATGCATATTTTACCATGACATGTATACAACCACCTGTTAATAATTGTTACGACTTGGATAGGTCAAGCCTTCTGATGCCGAATGGCAGATCTCTAAGCGGTCACACAAATATAGAAGGACAGTGTTCTAGCCTTGGATGAAGCCCAAGGGATCCTCTGACAAGCTTGGTAAGTGCGGCGGCTCGTCAAGCTGTAGGGCTAATGGATATACAGCTAAGGTAGTGTCGGCTTGCCTTAGAAGTGCAGAATCAAAACAGAGAGACTAGGGGTCACTCTGAGAGGATGTTCTGGGGTTAAGATCAAGTAGATCAAAGTAAAGAATACAATGATATCTGTCTAGGCTATATAGGCATCCATATACTATAAGGTTCGGTAGGAGCCTGTATTGTGAATCTATCTGAGTCAGAGATAAGATGAGGTGAGGCAAGCCTTGCTTGTCTGATAAGATGCATGAGGCGCCTCTTCTATGTCAGATACGTATATGAGGCGCTCCGGCCTAAAGGTTCATTAACACATGGGATCGCATGTGTTGGTCTAGTTCTACATGAGGTATACAGCCATCATGATAAGATCGGGAGGCCTTCTGGGCCATAGTGAAATCATAGCGGTTCTAGACCACTGTCAGTCAGGACCTAGGCAAGGTCCGGCAATGTCATTGTAACAATAATCCACTCTCATGGACAATTGGGCCTACATATGGATATTATTTCACATACTATTCTACTGCTGTCTTTCCAAGTATTCCTCTACATACCAGAGAAACGAGTACATCCCTTTGCTGTGATACCCTGCACCCAGAGCCTTCATTCACCAAATTTTATACATCTCTACTCATACCACTCCAAAGTACCTTTGCGCTGCTGCCCTGACATATGCGCTTCACTCACTTCATCACTTCATCTAGCCTATCTGCCCTTAACTTTTTGGCCTATTCATGCCCCTTTGCAAATAGATCACTAGAGTAAATTAGAGAGGCGGTCAATGATGCACTTGTTGACTGAGGTTCGCTATTGATAGTTGAGGGTCCTTAGAACTGGTGCAGAGGGTCTGGTGATGGACATAGGTAACACATGTGTATCCTGTTTTTCCAAGGGAGTAGGAACCTAACTGGGATAATGATCAGCCTAAAGTCTACCTTGCAGATGCAACACTGCTGGTTGCTTCTACAGTGGCTCAAAAAAGTGTCCCAATGTTTGTAGCTTTTCACGTAATTGCTATATCATAAGTCAAGACGTGAAAATATGACTAAGCTATAGGAAGATGTCGGAAAGGTCTGCTTCTCAGCTTCATTTCGGTTCCCTATACCGTGGGAAAATAATGACATTATGTGAAGATATGAGTATTTTAATTTGATGACTCATTGGGACACTTTTTTGACTTTGAGTTTAACTAATGTAATCTCTATAATTCTAGTACTGTGTGTGACCTCTTTCTGCCCCAATCACTTCTGCCACTCTTCTAGACATATTGTCTATCAATTTTGGGTATTCCTCTTTGGTGATTCCATCATACTCTGCTGTAACACTGTCTCATAGTTGGAATAACCCCTATGGTGAATTTTGATATGCTATAAGTAATTTCTTGAGTGGTTCTCAGAGGTATTCAATAGGGTTGATGTCTTGGGTCTATGTTGAACATGATAGAATAGTAATATCATGGTCTTTAAGTTATTTGGTAGCCAATCTAGAAGGTTGCTCTATAAGACTTAAGATCTCTTAATCACTATATTCTAATTTAAAAGGCTGCTGATGTTAATAAAGTGACTAAATTGATTATTTCCATCATTCCTATGACTATCTCTACTCAAATAGTCAGACAGACTCTCAAGACAGCCCATCTTAAAGCTATAATCAAGAAAAACAGATTCTTCTGTCTCCAACCTATAAAAAGAAAAGACAAAATGCTACTTTCAAGTACAAATATTAGACTGCTGATAGCCAAAAGAGGTTTATCTAGTTAGATATGGTTAAAATCAATAGGATGAGATCATATGGCAAGGAATTTGTATTAAAATAGATAGGACAATCATTAAGATAAAGAAAAGTTAAATAAACACCTTAAGTTTCAAGACGAAAACTTGATGGTATAGGACTATATGAGATAAAATGGAATGAGAATTTTCTATGAAGCAAAGGGGAGGATGAATACAGAGTAGTAAATACTCATTTGACAGGAATGTCTGCTAAGAAGCATGCAGGAGTTATAAGTTAATGAAGAAGATACTGTTTTGTGATAAGACAATGACCCTAAGTATACCTCTAAATCAGCCACCAATAGCCTGCAGACCATGATATTACTATTCTATCATGTTCAACATAGACCCAAGACATCAACCCTATTGAATACCTCTGAGAACCACTCAAGAAATTACTTATAGCATATCAAAATTCACCATAGGGGTTATTCCAACTATGAGACAGTGTTACAGCAGAGTATGATGGAATCACCAAAGAGGAATACCCAAAATTGATAGACAATATGTCTAGAAGAGTGGCAGAAGTGATTGGGGCAGAAGGAGGTCACACACAGTACTAGAATTATAGAGATTACATTAGTTAAACTCAAAGTCAAAAAAGTGTCCCAATGAGTCATCAAATTAAAATACTCATATCTTCACATAATGTCATTATTTTCCCACGGTATAGGGAACCGAAATGAAGCTGAGAAGCAGACCTTTCCGACATCTTCCTATAGCTTAGTCATATTTCCACGTCTTGACTTATGATATAGCAATTACGTGAAAAGCTACAAACATTGGGACACTTTTTTGAGCCACTGTATGCTGTCTGCACTTAATTCCCTTGCCGTCAATGTAGAGGGTCAACCCATAGCGAAAACAACACCTCAAACCATAATGGTATATATAGTCCTTCGTGTACCACAGGCCTTTGTGGTCCACCTTCCATCGTCCAATAGTGATTTTAGAAGGGGTGAACAATGGCAAGATATAGCACCTCACTGGCCGGCCATCTCTATCACCTCTTCCTTGAGCCTGAATTATCTTCGTCATTTCTAAGGAGTCTTCTGGTGAATGACAACTCAGATGTGTAGATAAATGTTACCCATGCTGAACACACTTGTGCAAATCATGACCAGATATGTGCCTGAATACCAGTCTATGATTTACTGGGCTCTGGAAGTATAGAATGGCCACCTAGCCTGTGATACTGTAATCAATATATGCACATACTGATTTGCCAAGTTGCTCACCTTGTTTGCAAGACCTTCACCATCTTCCAAGTAAGTCATGAATACCAGACCTCTGTCATCAGAGATTCATCTCTATTACTCACATGCTACAATCTGGATGACTATGTCCTCTGGTGCATTCAATGGAGCTAGAGTTTTCATGATATACTCTAACTCTGGCCGATTAATCAACTCCCTGATCTCGATGGCATTAGTCCTGAGTATTATGATGATATCTGTCTCTCACATGAGCACAGAGAACAGTGTCTTGTTGCCGGGAAGACCATCAATTAGCCTGCTAGTCACTAAGAAGGATGTGCAAGGTCCACAAACTTTTTCTGGTCAGTATCAAATCTTTGTTCTTCAGCAACTGATTTGGTGGCGGCAGAGGGTATTGTTTATTATCTTTTGACTCCAGCGGTAAGTATATGCATGTCATTATGAGCCTCTACTCACTACTCAAAATGTCGATAGCTTTTGACAGGTTGCTACCAAGGTCATTAGCATCTAACAACTTCATTTAGTATGTTGCGCTTATGCTACCTATCTGTACTATGCTTACCATTCAAAGCATTTAACTTTATACCTGCAAGCTAGTTGCTGTCTGCTGAAGGTGACTGGTTGTGCCTAGAATGATTGTACCCTGCCCAGTCTTGCTGCTGGTAAACTCATTGGTACCTGGAGGATATGGTCAGCCACCCACATGCCATTGGCTTCACACTTATTTCTACACATTTGTTCTCTATACCAAACCTCACTGTTGTCTTGTGATTGTAATCAGTATGCATGAATACTGATATTATCATGCTCTCCACTGCAGGCACCAGAGCATCCACAATATGGGCAACTACCTTGCATTCTATGCCTGCAACAAGCTTGTCTTTTATTTTGGCTATCACATGGTTTTGCATGTATGATATCACCTATGCACATTGTGGAGGTACAGCAATAATGGCAGCAGCAGCTGGAGAATTTGTCTTTTGAAAGTCTGAGCCAAACTTGCCTGATTCTACCAGATGCTCAAATTCATCGGATCTAGCAAGCATGTATGCTAATTGCAGGCCTTCTGTAACGGTGTGCATCACCAACTGCCAATTAGTTCTGGCTTGAAGAAATATAGGCAGCAGGTCCTCTGGCACACCTGCAAGCATGTCTGGACTTAGACCATATATCTGGTTTCAGTAGATCTATTATGGCCAACTTTGAGGGTTTAGACTGTATCTTGCTTATTGTCTTCTGATGAGTTTTCTGCAAAGCGACTGAGCTTGCGCTTGAATGCAGTGTTGACATGGCGCCATGAGTTGACATCTAGACCAAAACTAAGCATGAATATACAGTGAGATCCCTGTGCTTCTCCTTAGATGGAATAGTTCAAGTTATTATATGAGATGCTACAGCTGTGTCGACTTTGGTTGCAAATAGGCTAAAATTAGCATCTAGAATGTGACCATCTAGGTCTGGAGCCCCAGTAATGCTGATCTCAGTTCTGTTTGCTCACAATGAATTTCAAGCACTGTGTAGTTGCCAATAAATCATATAAAAAATAATCAAGTTTTGGGATGCCTCAATTGGGTTCGAGATCTGTCAACCTTGCACTGGTCACACTGATAAAATCTATTCACTCAGGCTGGCCATCTCAAGTTCTGAAACTCCTTCATTGTCACTGCCTTAGAAAACAAGACTGTGCCTATGGAGCACAAAGTCACATTGGCAGATAGGACAGGCACACCAACATCAGTTTACTGCATTGCAATATCTCACAATGGAGAACTTCTTCTTACAAGTCGGAAGATTTTGATGAGGGTCTTCAACTCTGCCAAGTCCATTGAGAACCCAATTTCCACAGCATTTGGAATTACTTATACAATTTTAACTTTACACATCACAGTAAGGCAAATTTTGGCCAAAAGCTCTATTGTTTCAGACAGTATGGACTCAGAGGCAGGCCTGCCAGTGCCAAAGTTTAAGTTCAGATGCAAACAAGATGCAAATAATACCTGTCGTTCAAGTTATTTTAACATTTGTTATGGTGATTGTAGATCATTAAGCTCAACCCTTTGTCTCATCTTGGGTACCAATTGAATACATTCAGCAGCACTGCGGTGTGATTGGGACTCTTGTCATTAGTCTTAATTTCCCTCATGAAGGTTAGTCTAGACCTTGGAGTCAGTTTGGCAAATTCACATGCTTTGTTGTGTTTTTCACTCCCAACTTTTCAGATTTTCATCATTACAGGGAGACACTGAAAGTCTTATGGACACTAATAACATTCATTCTAACTTTCTCTACCCTAGCCTTGTATGAAGAAACTTGTTGCTTCAGACCTGGCATCAGAAATCCATGAAGCTGCTTAGTAGTTTAATTGCTTGCACTTTTTCATAGTTAGCCCAAGGATCTCGCTCCCACTCGCCCTCTCCAGGGCGAGCAGTCCTAATCTACCAAATTGCTTGACTGAGTGTTCATTTTGAGTTATACATGTTTTGCAGAAGTGGGTTTATTCATCACTCTTGCCTCATTTAAATGTACTTGTACTAGTATAGGATCCACATGTAGTACTATGTGTCTCATTCATGAATAATCATTACTACTGTTACATAGACCACCTCATCAACCCCTTAATTTGTTGGTGATTCCAATATTACAGTCACAAGTATTTGCCAGAGTCTGTTTGTGCTGTGCCCCCTTATAAAATGTTGATGGTCATCATTGTATTGCCAAAGTGAGCTCAGAGCCTTCCAAATACTGAACTTTGACATTCACCGGTGAGAATAAGTGAAAATTCAGAAATTTGAAATTCACTGCAGGAAAAATGGGCACTTGCATCAGAGCAATGTTTATTACAACTTGTCTTAATTTTTACAAGAGGTGTAGGAGCAGAACTGAAAGTATAGAATAAACTTGACTGAAAAGAGAGGTTATAAAGGATACAACTACAGACAATCTAGAGTGATATTGTTATATTAGATACCTCTCAGAGACCGAAAAGGGTGTATTACTAGTTATGTCCTTTTGTGAATTAATATTGCTTACACTTATTTGGCTCATTTATGAACAACATTATCTGTGTGTACTGTAAATGTGATTCAGCCACTTCTACTATGCCATATTATGATATGCAAGACCAATAATGGTTCTGGCAGACAGAGTAAGGTCTCATTTCTCGAAAGTCACAGGTGGAGTTGGTGATTCTGGAGGCACAGGGATTATGCACAACTGGTGGTGGATTGATTAGACAAGAGTGATTATGCAAAGGAACAATGGCATATTAGAGCCATGGGCAAAATAAAAGTGCATGAGGATCTCGACCCTGAAGATAATCTGTCCAAGCTCACATATGCTCGTCCTTCAAACATGCTATCTCATATTTCCTTAGACACACCAGTCACACATAAGGCTACCAGGGATCTCACTCCCACATCTCTGGTTGATGCTAGGATTCAAGTCAAAAGACCCAACTTCATTCAGTAATTCCTCACCATTTTTGCTTACCAAGTGAGGCTTAATTGCATAGCCATCATGCTAAGGCTGATTTTCATCTTCATGCAGTACATGTGTAACCAAAAAAGTGTCCTGTGAGGGACAGCATCCAATGCAAATTTAAATACACTGCTTGCCATAACGACTGCAATGTGATATGTAATTGGTTCCAGAATTTCTTGAAGGTGTAACTTGATCACCTGTGCCCCAATTACCACAAGTTTGAGAAGTTGTTAAAGAAGGCCACATATTCTGATGGTCCTGCATTAGATTGCCTCAATGACAAAGGTACATCTTTGCAATATTTGCATGCTTTGTCAATCATCTTACTCTCTCCCAAACAGACACCAGTGACATTCCACAGTCAGCTAATGCTTTTCACCATCCTCTAGATAATGATGAGTATATGGAGAATGATAACTCAATATATTCTTACAGCTATGCAGGCTATATTTGGCCACTATATTGGAAATGCTCATTCATGTGCATCAATAGCAGATACTCTGCTGTGTGACAACTGTGAGCATTTAAAAAAAGTGAGTGATGTCTCGTTATTCAATACATACTTCATTACTCAATTTAAATGTTCAGTCCAAAGGCATAATCAGACAACCTTTCTAGCTATCCCGAGACCAGTTAACCCATTTCTTGTGCTTAACTAACCTAACCCTCAAAATGTCCTCTCTCAATCCTGTCCATCTTACTGACCGACAGCACCATGACACTACATTTTGGATGTCTTGTTATAAGCGCTGGGTATCTTTTCGAGAGCCATGCATACACCCTCCACTATGTCAAGGAGCTTTGAATGATCACCTATCATGTCCCTATGGCTCCCAAATCCCTTTCATCCTACCATCAATTGTAACAGTCATTTGAGAGAGTAAGATGTTGTTGATGGCCAAACTAAGAATCCCTACATAGATAGAATAGCCCAAAGGCTGGCCATCGACACTAACCACTTTATCTCCATAAAATCTTTGCAGACCTAGATCAAGCATGAACCCATCAATGCAGACAAGATGCCTCAATGTCACTCTTTTGTAATTTCTTTCTATAAAGAATTTCGAGCCCTTCCACCTTTATATGTGAACAATACACAAGTAGAACAAGACCAATCTATTGATCTTCATATGGAAGACTTACAGATACACTCTACTAATGATGCTGAGATGACTGATACTTTATCATAATTATGTTTACATTATCCGAAGTATTCATCACAGAACTGTCGCCTGGCTCTTCTCATAGAGTTAAATCAATGATGGAGGCACTGGTCTGGCCACCAGACATATCAAGGCACATGAGCTTCTTTTCCATCCTAGCTTCTAATATAGTCCTCAAAACTTCATCCATGCTCAGAACCTACATCATTTAGTGTTTCCTGACATTTGATTCTGTTGGTGTGCTTGAAAGTACCCCATCAACTTGGACCTACAATAACAGTTATCTTTCTTGTGAAATTCACAAGAGATGCACATCTTCTCATAGTAATGGCTCCAACTCCCAACTTTTTCCCCTACTAGCATTGTTGCATGCTACATTTACTGTGGCAAGTAGTCTAGTAATATTCAGAGGCACCACTTGACTCACAATAAGGATCCATGCTTGAAGATCAACTTTCTCAGTAGGACAAACACCCTCAACCTGAACTTTTTACAGATAATTTTAAAGGCACAATATTAACTACTAATTCAGTACTCAAGAAGTGCTATTATTGCCCCTTTGTACGCTGCCCATTCACAGTCTTTCCTGCTGCCTTGTAAAAACATATGCAAATGTACATTGAGGTAAGCCTAATCCTATACCGCCCTTCTCTCTACACTAACATATCCATAGATCATATTCCTTTCTGTTGAAGTGCCTAGTATAATCATTACCTCACAAAAAGAGTTTTGGAAGACACTCCTTCTTTGTATACAGATATGACAGTTGGTGGAACACCATCTCTTGATATGTCTAGCATCACATGTACACACTTTCAACCAGGTGGAAATAAAGCATCTACCTCTAGTCCTAACCTGCATGAGGATATAGAAATAGCCCTCAAGAAGAGATGCATAACATTGGAAAACCCTCTTCCACCCCTCTTAACACTATTTCTTATGATATCCCTGTAGCTTGACTACAACTTGTCCATATCATTGTCACTATAAGCATACTTTGTGGACTTAATAATAAACAATTTAAGGTGTGTACCTTCCTAAAATGTATCCCTAATTTGAGATCCCAGCAAATGTAGCTTCAGTGGCCTGACCATCCCTCTCTTAACCTTTCTTTCCAAACCAACACACTCTATCTTCATTCACTCATATTATACCCCAACTCTGCTGGCATTATCTCAACAAGGAAACTCTTTGTTGAAATACAATGCAATAGCCCAATAAACCCAACAAGCAGCCATGGCTCAACCATCCTGATTTAGCCATTTCAGACTTAACCCCCAAGGAACACCACCAATAAATATACATAGTGTAAATGCAAGAAAGAGGAACAATCTCAGACTCAGCAACCCGCTGATGTAAACTCACAAGGCAAGGCTCCTTAAAAATGTCATTGGATTGCATTTCCAGAACCACAATCAAATGCTCCAGCTTCCTCCAACTCTGCAGGTGATAAGATCCCCATTAACCTTATCCTCCTGTCTCAAGATTTCACTCCAACTACCCATCTA